AAATAGGACAAAATGGCTCTTTGGATAGTAAAGGTTGCCGACCCCTGCACTAGCGGTATGGATTTTGTAAGCGGAAGGAAAACAGCCACAACACTTGAAAATCAAATCTTTTTGAGTGCCTGAAACACAAATTGTCCAAAAGAAAACCTTGTGATGAGGGAGGATGCAGCACAAATCAAGGGGAGCACTCACAACCACTTCAGAAATATATGCTCTGAAGATAATGAGAAAAAACAGAAATAGGATGGATGCATTATGATAAGGAAAAACAGGCTTTCAAGCAAGTGAGAAGTGGAACAAGACAATTTGACGTTTCAAAGGACAGGAGGCCTGGGGCCCTTAACATATTTGGCATTAGAGCTCAAAGATTATCAAGAGGTGACAGTTGACAATGTAATTACAGTTGGACAATTTTACACTGACATGAAACTCCCTCTTGTTCGGTTTTATTTGACCACACAGAAAAAAAAACGATGGACAGTCCACACAGTCACAGCACTGGTTTGGCTCCATCTTTGGAGAGACAAGAGAGCTCTAAGAATCAGTCCTCCACTTCTTCTCTCAGTGCTGCTAACCCTAACCCTAACCCTAACCACTGTAAATGTCAAAGACACATGTGCCTCAAGGTATCTAGTTCGTTATGTAATGTCGTAAAGTAATGGGCCACACCCAGAGTTGGCGTGGGCATATGACTGTGGCATTGTGGGTCGTTTGCTGGCACAGAAGCAGAGAGGAGTGAACGACCCTGCAGGTTAAACTGATTCTGCACGTGGTCCAAGAGGTGCACACGGTAAAGTGTTCATCAGTACATATATTTGTGTGTATTGTTGTTGACCTGCATTTACTTTTACATGTGTTGCATTTTTTGAGATTGTAGTTTGTAGTTTATGTCATTATTAATGTGCTAATATGTGCTAGCCTGTTTGGCAACGGACATTTGCCTGAGAGGCTCCAGGAAGAGCTCGCAATTTATGTAAAAATGTTTATGTTTTGTTTGTAGTTTTCACGGTGTCTGAGGTGCAGAGAGAGAGAGAGAGAGACAGAGAGAGAGAGAGAGAGAGAGAGAGAGAGAGAGAGAACGCGGCAAATAAAGTTCATCAAAGACGTCAGTACGAAGCGTCGCCATTTTTGCTGGACCAGTGTAGCTACAGTGAAAACGTACCGCCAATGTGGCCGACGGTTAAGAGTGAGGATCAGCACGTGTCCAGAGAGGTGGAAGCACGACCACCGGGGCAGCGTGTAACTGATAGAGAGGACGTTGGAGGGGATGCTTGCCAACTAACGGAAGAAGACGGGAGTGTTGGCTCCTGATATCGGCGGGTTGAGAGTACCGCGACTTCATCAGCAGAGGGCAGCATTCGCCAGCGCAACCTGCAGCTCTGTTACGCCACAACTGTATGGACATTTGTTAAGTTGAAAGAGAGAAGACATTGTGGTTAAGTTATTGGTTTACTTATGACAGTGTGTTCATCTATTATAGCCCAATTGTTGTTCTTGCTTTACTAGTAGCATTGTTATGAATAATGTTCTGATCTGAGAGTTCAAATGCACTTTGTAATGAGTATATTAAGTGGTTCATTTGAGAAAATTAATCAGACTTACAAAACATAAGCACTGAGGTTGCTCATAATTACATGGTGGTAAAGGTTGTATGCATGTTAGCAGTTACTTGGTGTTA